AAAGACTAGAAAATTTTCTAGACTTTAGGAGTTAAGACTTAAAACAAGAAGAAGTTTTAAATTCAGTTAGGAAATATTGATATGGGAGCAGTGGAAAAAAAGAAGAATTTAATAAATTAGGTGAGAGTTACTAGGAGCATTAGTGACACAACAAATTTATTTTTGCAATATAAAGCTGCATCAATTTTGGTGCTGCTGTGAGACAGACATAGTCAGGTCATTTGAGAAGTCATTAATGAGACTTCCTCTGAAAAATTGTTTTGTTATTCTAGTCAATCATTTTCAGGAAGAATTAAGCTTACTTTTAAACATTCAGAAAAAGCTGTTTAATAACCATGGAATATAGACTTAGCTGTGGAAGAGAAGACTAAAAGGGCTTTGCCTATTAGACTTAAGGCTCTGAGAGACGTGCTGTGGCAAGCTAAAATTGGATGGCAGAAGTTGTTACTATCCTCAAGGCACGAATACTTGAAGCTCTTTTGAATCACTCTCTGAACCACTGCTTTGTATATTAGGGTAAACCAAAACTTTTTCTTTAATACACCCAGCTGAAGACTGCAATAGTAGATGAGTTCTTTCATAGGCATGCCATATAATCCTGCCCTGAAGGCTTCAGTGCCCATCAGAGGGGTGGAGCAGATGCTAAATATTCCTGCCTCTGATTTTAAGCCACTGCTACATTTACCTCAGAGCCTTGAGAAAGCAAGGGGAAAGAGGAGATGTGATGGTTCTTCATAAATATATTGGGAATAAATATCAGGAAAACTTATTAAACAGTAATATTGTCATAACAGCAAATATGTAACACTATATTTTTAGTTTAGAAACAGAAGAAAAAAAAAAGATTTCAGCTCTCTGAGATTGAGGTAACATAAAAATATCTTGATAGTCTTGAAATGGAACTTCATCTGTTCAGAATAATACAATTACACAGATATTTTCCGTCCAGTAAGTTTGTGCATTCCTAAAGAAAGAGAAAAAGAAAACAGCAAGAAAATGTGGGCCATGATTTTAAGGCCCTATTCCATAATGATGGATTCAACTGTTAGTAGCATTATCTATGCCAAGATCAAGCTACGTTCTGTAGGCTGTTTAAGGAGCAGCACAAACTTCTCAGTGTGCTGCAACAGAAGCATCTAAAGATATTGGTACTTGTGCTTCTGTTTTTCTGTGAACCCCTTTTTTCTTGACGTGGCAGTATTGTTCAGTGTTTTAGGAGGCCCAGAGTCTCTGTGGCTTGATTGTAATAAATAACTTAAATAAATCAATTTTATGCTTGTAATGATGGGTTAAGAGGATAATTTTTTGTTTAGTTGGGGTTTTTTTGTTTGTTTGTTTTTGTTTTGGTAAGAACCAAAAAAAATTCATTTTGATGAACTTGATTTATATAACATGCAGAAATCAGTAGTCACAGAAAAAATATGACAAATTTAATTTAAATGAGGTGAGGTGAGAATACAATCATGTTAAACTGTGTACTAAGTCTAGGTGTGTTGCCCATTAAAACTATTGTCTTTAACTTCTCTTTTTAAAAATTTTTATATTCAGGATTATTAAATTTTTATATCAATTTAGACCATATTACAGAGATTTTAGTTATCAAAATCTCTTCACCCCTTTGTGATCATGTGTAGAAGTCCTCATTAATTTCTTATTCAGAAAAGAACTGTTCATGGGTTCCATATTGCCTATTTTTTGTCTTATATGTGGCCTTTACATGTGTATACAAATGGCACAGCATAAAAAAAGTGAATATTTTATTTACTGATTAATTTTCTTTTGTCTACTTAAGAATATTAAAATTAGCTTTCCTTATGTAACACATACATTCTAAGGAAATACATTCAGTACAGTTTCTATAGTTCCTCATATCCTATTTTGATTTCTGTCACAAACTGGAAATGAAGCTGCATGTGTATAAGAAGTTTAAAAATAGGTTAGAAGTATCTTGTGAAATGTAACAGGAAATCTACGGAGATATATTTTTATCTGGCATTTTCTGTGGTGGGCAAAAATGAGCATGTTGTGCCTTTCAGTTCCGTTCAAGAATGTTGCAGAAACTTGTAATCTGTCACATTTTTAGTCATGTGTGCATGTCAATCAGATGAATATATAATATATATTGCAATCATAACATATTTACAGACAGAGTTCTAAGAATAAAGTGAAATGAGTGGCAAAACCCCCCCCACAATAAAACTGTACTTGCAGAAGGTAATAATTTTGAGTTTGCAGCAATATATTATGGCTGGGATCACTACACTCTGGTAAAGTGTGACTTCTCACTTATTTAATGAAAAATAATTACAATTAATGGCAAATATATATCAATGATGCTAAAAGGTCACTTCCCAATGGCAATGAGTATGTAAGTTAAGGAAAAGGAGAAACAGAAATAAAGATCAATAAATAAATTTCAGGTGGGTTCTACAATAATTTTTATGTACTGCAGCATTGAAATTCTGGAAGCAATTTCCCATTGAAATATTCAGGAAAAATAATTGTAACTTGTCAAGAAATTATGTGAAATTATTTCTATGATAAGCAGGTGTACTCAGTGTGTAACAAGATACTTCTAGGCCTATATTTTAGTATTATGAACTGGACTAGTGGAGTGCTGCAAGCATCTTGCTCATGACAACTGAAGTAGTGACTATCAATTCTTCATTTAACTCTGGTGTATGTGCATTTTTGGGAAAGGAAATGGAAGGAGGAACAAGACAATTTCATGGAAATTAGCAAGATTCTTCAACTGCTGTAGAAAAGTGGGGAAAACAGCAATTTAACAAAAATTTGGGGAGAAAAGAAAATTTTCTAATTATATTCTGTCAATCATGATGTATGGATGCGTCCACTAATGACACAGAGCATGGGAATGTGATTTGGGTGTGAATTTGTCTTCAGTCTAAGTTTGGAGTCTCCTTCTGTACATATTTCTGAGCACCACTGAGCATTTTGAAGCATTGATTTGTCCCACCTTTGTCTTTAGACTGTCGTGTAGTGTGTAGCACTTGAAGTGCAGGTGCAAGCCTTCCATCAGTTTGCTCTCTGTGCCTGCAGTGTGTGCCAAAGGTTGGCAGGTGATGCAGACCTTGTGGCCTGTTGGGATGTAAAGTAAAGGGGCACAGCAAATTGCACTGCCATCCTTGCTGCATCAGGTGTACTGCAGGTAATAGAGACACACACACACTCTGAGACTTCCATGACTGCCTGAGGTTTAATGATATAATATATTGCATTTGTGATAAAAAAGATTCGACATTTTGTCTCATATGCGCCAGGTAATTTGTTTTGCTTATTTAAGATTTTCTCTCATGATTTATGATTTGATTTGTTAATTTAAGAAAAAAACAGCTAGTATCAGTATCTTTCCTACAAGAAAGCTCTAATTATAAAAAGTATAAGTTACATCTATGAATATTTTTTACCTCAGAAATATTTTATGAATGCACCAGATGCTCACCATTGTGTTTCTATTTTGGAGAAAAGTATTTAAAATACATGTTAATAGACCCCTGTTCATTGCATACTGGACAAGTGTAATATTCCAGTGAATATACTCTCCTTGAAGTTAGCAAAACTTAATTTTTATATAAATTTGAACAGCTGTTAAGTTAATAATTTTGAGGTACTCAATGAACTTAAATGAAAGATACAGATAGATCTATAAAAATAGGTAGGTAGGTAGGTAGGTAGGTAGGTAGGTAGGTAGGTAGGTAGGTAAGTAGGTAGGTACATTACCTGTATTTTTATTGAATGTTTTGGGCTATTTAGTGTTCTTGCTGTTTTGTCAAATTAAGTCAGTGTAAATTGAACAAAGAGATTTGTATATAATTTGGTTGGTAATGTTGAAGAATTTTTCTAAGGTGTAAATATGTTCCTTCTACAACCAAAAGAGAATGTTTTGCTTGCTTGTCCCAGGTGGCTTCCTGTAAGAAGATCATATTTAGATTGAGGAGCAGACATTATTATTTGAGGATATTTAGGAGTCTTTTATGGATAATGTTCATAGAGGAAAAGATGTTTTATAGAGATGCTTGACATTGGTATCCTACTTTTGTGTAACTTGGTTTTAAATTTACATGTGTGTAACATTTTACAAGAAATGATTCATTAAAATAAGGATGCTGTAGTCAGTGATGTAAAATAAATATAAATTATTAATAATTTAACAGTACTGGAAAAGCTGAAAAGACTGATGAATGCCAAAAAAAATGTGTTATGTAACTACCAAAAATGGGTTAATATTTTTTTTTGTGGATGATCCAATTCCAAGTGATATTTTAAGTCCTGTTTCTGAAGAATATATTGGACAGAAACCTTCTCTGTTTATCACTAGATGTGCATGTCTATTTAGTGTCTCATTTTCTTCACAAGCATATTGATCAAAGTGAGTCAAAGGAAGAAGGTTCTTCCACAATTCTCCATTTTTTTTATGTCCACCTCAGAGTAAGATAGTTGATATCTGGCATTTTGAAGAATGTAGATGTTCATAGAACTGTTATTGTACACTGTATGTTGCCCTTCAAATCTGTCTTGCTCACTCAATTTTATCTGGTGGTTGGGTGAGAGAGATGAAGGAAAAGAGGAGTTGCCTGTTTGTTTTCTTGTAAAATTCTCATTTTTTGCATCTTTCAACTCTGTACTGCACTATTAATCCCATCATTTAATGGAGAAGAGTTATGCTCATCACTGATACCCAAGACAGCTATATTATTTTTTACTCTGTCTGCAGTAACTCTGAGTAAGAAAGGGAAGAATTTATAAATCACTCCAATTTGTCTATAATTTAAAAACAGCCTGCTTCTGGGCATGTCTGTATGAAACAGACAGTTCTAACTGTCTTTGCTGCCAAAATAGTTATTCTATGGAATGTGTTTGGATCTAAGGAAGAAAAGAGAAATTTTTTGCTCACTAGTAAGATCCATGGTAGAGGATTAAGTCAGCCAAACCCTACTCACATCCCAGTAAGCAGACATATATTTCTGTATTTTTTGTAGGTGGATACAGTGCAGACCACGCAGCACCCTGGCCATATTGAGGAATCATGTAAAATGAATGTATGTGCTCGTAAGTGAATTATTTATGAACTGACACTCCAACTCTAAGGGATGTTGGATCACAAAATCCATGAACTCTCTTTACTCTTATGTTAAGACATTGATTCCCAGGAGGCAGGGTTACTGCAGAACTAAGTGGACCTTTAAAGCAAAGCTATTAGAAAAACAAAACAAAACATGGTAAAGCATGATAAAAACTGCTTGAAACAAGAAATTCAGATTACATTTTGGATGCATTTGAAGAGACATTAAATGGAGAATGCAAAAAAGCAAGAATCCAAAACAGGAAAACAAATGGTACATAGAAAGGTTTAGTAAGCAGAACTGATGGTAAGTGGAGGAAGAAGATCGAATACCATCTAATTCAAGAGTATGAATAGGATGAAAAAACTCACCCTTTTCTTCTTTGTTCTATCTTTGAAAAGACTGAAATTTGAATAAATGATTTGTTGAATTAGTAACTGGGAGATGAGTGTGAAGAAGGTTGAATTTTCAGTGTTTGAATCAATGAAATATTTGTGGTTTGATGAAAAAAAACCAAAACCAAACCCCTGATAATATGCTAGATAAACAAAGAAAAAATATACCTCAGGACTGAAATTCTGGAAATCTAGAAAGAGTCTTAGTATTTGAAAATCTTTGACCTGCTCAGGGATGTGAGGGAGAGTGTGGAAGAAGAGGATTCAAGTCAAGTGTCATATGGTCCTTCAGATTTTGCTGAGAGAAATAGCTCTCAAAGGAAGTTGAGGTAGATACAAAGAAGAAACCAAACATGCTAAATGACTATCAGCAAATAGGGAAATCAACAGCCACTCACATGGTGAACATAGAGTTTGGTTGCTAAAGACAACTGAATTCACTCAGGGCACTCCAGACTAGAATAATTGTATCAAGGATTGTACAAATGCCAGTATCAAATTCATGTACACAGAAAAGCTCTAAATCTGCAGTCAGTTCTAAGGTATATGCACCACATAAAAACAAAGACTATAGTGCCAATTCCAATTTTATATATATGTGTGTGTGTATATATATACACCAATTTTTATATTTATTTTATATATGTATTTGGATATTACTCTATATATCAGCTTATGATTTAGAGAAAGGCTGAATACTTCCTCCTAAATAATTTATTTAGTCATATCCTTCATCGTAAGAAGCAACTAAAAAGGATATTTGAATAATAATTTTCCAACAAGGTTTTTTTTCTTAGGAATAAAGCATAACTTCAGCCCATTGAAGTTTGTGAAGTAAATCTGGTAAATAGCTGTGTGAGAAAATGACACGATAGTCTTAACAAGACTGTATGTTGTGACTTGCCTTCATAGTATGGCTTTTCAACTGTATGAACAAAAATAATGAAAAATACTTTTTCTCTCCTGATTGTTATGTGTTTATGTCTGAATTAGCTCATCCTTTGTGTTTATCCCTTCAAAACTGATAGTCTGCCACTCTTTCCCATTTGGAGTAATTAGTTCTGAGTGGAGGAATTTATGATACAGTACAGGCTTTGACCTCTTTATTGTACTGAGATAAATTATCAAACTTCAAAGTCAGTAGGCTGCTACCACATTGATTTTGTTTCTCTGAACAAAATCAATGAGCAAAATTAAAATAAAAAAATCAATTCTTTCATTTTTGAATTGATTCAGGTTTTCTACATGGACATTGTTTATTTAAATTTGATTGCTAGTCTGGAACTTCAGTAATTCTGCATAACAGAAATTATTAATAAAATAAACAAAGAAAATTAAAATTAAGACATACAGGAATAAGAAGGAAAAAGATGCAAAAGAGATCAAGAAAAGCACTTGTTTAGGAATATCAATAAAGATTGGTGCCAACATCTTTGTCAAAAAAATCAGCACACAGGTTGCTTTTTTTGCATTTTCTATCCTTTTTCTTTAGCTCAATTGATGCTTAGAAGTGGTGTAGGAAATACCTCCAGTCCATGGACCATATGTTGTGAGAGCATTTCAGAGCATTTGCAAATCTTACCTAAAGATGAGAGAAAAAAAGGAAAACCCCACCAAAATATTTAAGATGTAACATTTCACAGAAATAAATACACTAAGTATGCAAATATATTTGTGAAATTTTCAGCCTTTTTTCTGAATATAGACCTTATCTTAGAAAAAAAATTTCAATGTGGAACATGTCAAGGCATTGTTAAGTACCTCTAAACAGATTCTTATCTCAAATATAACAATTTTATTTCAATAAAATTATTCTTCAACTGGAAATGAAGTCAAAATTGTGTCTTCTGTGTTTGTTGCAATTTCATTCTTCTGTATTTAATTTTCTGGTCAGAAGCAATTGCGAAGAAAGACCCCCTTCAAAAAAAAATTGTGGAACTACTCTAATTTTCAGATTTCAGAGAGTTTAGCACTCAAGCAATTTGTATGGAATAAAAGCACTTTTGTATTGCCTCCTGCTACAACACCACTGAGGAAAGGGCAGCAAAACAGTGGGAGATCAAATGAAGAGTTTTTTCTTCTGTTATATCAACTTGCAAGATACTGGGAGCTTCTGAATTGCAAGGGGTAATATAGCTTTTATGAACTATTTCTTTCCTCTTTGCCTCCTACGGCTGCTTCATTGATGGCTAGTGTCTTTTTTTATGTCAGAATGAGAGAATGAAAGATATTTGTGACAAGTGACATTCTACTTTCTGTTTGCTGTTGTCCTGCTTGGATGAGAGAAAAAATACATCCATCTGACCTCATTTTCCTATATTTTAGGAAGTGGTTAATTTAGAGCTTTTAAAGACAAATCTGAATTGTCTTATTCATATGACCAGGCCAAATATACCCAGAGCTTTCTGGTATAAGACCACTCTTTTTCCAGTATCACTTTATTTTCAATTGTTTCATACATGAACACTGAAGAACAAGATATGTCAGTAGAAAACTATCAGGCAAGTTGTGATATACAATTTTTTCAGCTAGTTAGATATATTATTAGTAGGAATATTATATGAAATGGCAAAAGAGGATCTCTTTTTCTCTTCTAAATGGTTCTACTTCTGGTGAATGTATATTGTCACAATTTGTAGAGGCACTTTCAGTGATGCCAAACACAATTTTACGTACAAATGGTGCAGTAGAAATGGTCTTTGTGGTAGTAGTCAGCTTGCTAAACTATCTGTCAAACCTAGACTAAAGGATTAAATTGAGTAAAGTTGCACCACCCAGATCACACTTCAGTCTCAGGGTTAACAACACAATTCAAGTCATGTAAATTGTTTTTGCAAAGGCTCATAAACAATTTAAAACCTTCACCTGAGATTTCTCAAGCTTATAAAAAAACTCTGTCTCTTCCTACAAGCTTCATATGGACCCATAAGAACAGATTCTTGGATTTACCCACTCAGCATTTAAAAAGACTAGACAATCCATGCTTTAACCCATTACTCATTTTACTCTTTCAGAGTCATTCAATAGACCGAATTTTGCTGAGCTAGTAAAAGATAGCTTTGTACTCTCAATGCACCAGCTATATTTAAATTTCCAATGTATACTTAATTATGCATTCTTACAAACTCAGTATTATCTCCCTTTTCATTGGGGAAAAATTAAGCTATTGTGCTTGCAGACATTATATCTGACTTTTGACATTTCATTTAGGGAAAACTATAAATATGTGAAATGCTGTTCCATCTTCTATTTTGTTCTCAATATTTACCAGAATCTACATTAAGAGATGGCAATTATGACAAATGTTTTAAATCCTTTCTCTCACCATGAACATGCCTACAATTTCACTGTTTAGCATTAAGCTCTTTGTTTTTGTTGGAATGTGTTCCTGAAATATCAAGAAGCCACAATTGAATTCTATTCTCCATCATACCCCAGTAGATTGCCATTTCAGCAGTGAGTTTTCCTTTGATCTGCAGTTCCAAGGAATGGCATCTATCACAGGAAACCAGTTTGTTGCCCTTTCTAAGGAATTTATGGTGCTAATGAGGAAGAAAAAAGAAAAGGTTTGTTATGACTCCTGGCAGTTACCACAGAGCCCTCAATATTGTTCAGTGGTGGAATTCAAGAAAGGCATTAATGTTTCTACATTCAGTTTAAAATTAATTATCTTCCAAATCAGATTAGTTTTCACATTTAAACAGTCTTATTCTAGCCCAGTAACACTATTTTGAATAGCAACTGCCAACCAAGCTAATTAAAATAATTAAATTTTTTATTATTTACTTCTATAAATACTATATTTATTTATATATTATCTATTGGAAATATGACAGAGAAAAATGTTCTACAGGAGTTTAATAAACCTGATTATGCTCTATAGCCTATTTTATCAGGCTTAATTATCTGTTTGTGTTACATTTTGCAGAGTTTTTATTCAGGAAAGCAGGATTTTCAATTGGCTTTTGACACAAAATAACCTTTCTTTAAACTGTGAAACTCTGGGCAGACAATTGTTTCTGGATAAAAGGTATCACTTCTTGACTATTGTCTAGAGCAATTTTATTCTAATAAACACAAGCAAAAGAGTGGTATATAAATTAATTAACCTCATAAGAAGTGTGGGCAGAGTTTGATATCACGAATGTCCATCTGCTTTTCCTTTTTACTCTCAGAAGAATGATCATTTCCCTCTGCTATCCAGCCCTGTATTGTGAGAATGGTAGAAGCACACAGGGAGTAAAGATAACTCTAGCCAGTCTCAGCTTTCACCTCCAAGAAGGGAGTTAGCCAGTTGTACAGGCATAGTTTTAACAGGTGAATTATGAATATTGTAAACTTTGGCTTCTCACCTATCTGCACAGTGTTGCAATCAGTAGGAAGTAGGTATATGTGGGCACTCTTTCATTCAGCCTAAGTTGTCTTTTTCTAATATTCAGGATGAAACCTATTTTGGTGTCTCTGAGAGTCTACAGAGAGACTTAATCTCAGAGGAATTTTATGTGTTCAAGCTCAAAATCTTTCTGCATCTAATGTCAGTTAACATGGAACACTTTTAAGTAGAAATGTCTCAACACGGTT